CAGCAGATAATATTTTCCTGACTCATAGTAGCCCTGAGTTTCTCTGTATGGAGGTATTATCAAACCATGAGGGCAAAAGCAAATTTTGAGCCACAAAAGATGCTGCTAGGCTGTGTGGCTTCTAGATAGTTCCATTTAAGGTAATGTATCTTCATATTTGCCTCTTAAATACAAGGAACCAGCTCACTTTTCTGGTCTAACTTCAGAGAGAAGACTTGCATCTCTGATTGAAAAGGGTTTATGTTTATTGTTACTATAGGTAGCCAGAAAGAAGAGCAGGAAGTAATTAGTGAGAAGAATGAGATATATAGGTATACTAAGCTACATTGTATTCCAGATTGAAAGAATTCAGCTAAGTTTCATTGTACAAAAACTAGAAATTTTGTGCAATCCAATTAAACTTTTATTTGAATACCCACAGTAAGTTATGCACCCAGCAATTTTAAGATAAAGTTCTTCAAGGTGCCCTCCGCATTTCTGTAGGAATGTGTTTGGGTAGAAAGGAACAGAAAACAAAAAACATGAGAAGGTTGTAATAAGATAAACAGTTGAGCAAACTTCATGTAATTGGACCTAATTGGTCCGGGGGGGCTCTAGATAATTCAACTGAAAATTTTAGGTAAAATAATTTAATACAAACCAAATTGATCTATATAGGAATTTGGTAAAAATAATAGTTCAGTCAAAAATCCCCAAACACAGCGGTTTTAAGTATTAATTCATATTTAGACAACTGTTTCTGCTCTCCCAGATTTGTCATAGGAAAAATTTATAACATTTCAAATAATCAACAAGAGAGAATCAAGTAGTTGGAATAACTTAAAAGTCTTTTAGTTATATGTGTAAGAATAAAAACACAGACTAAAACTAAACCAGAGAACTGGTATAATTGGCTTAAAATGGATGGGGATGAAAAAATTGGAGTCAGAAAAATGTCTAGACCTTTTTTTCAATAGTTTCCTTTACTTAAAAGAAATTATAATTATTATAAAAGAAAAGCATTCACAGGGATCTATCCAAAAGAAATGAAAACATATCTCTGCACAAAGGCATGAAAAAAATCTTCATAGCAGCTTTATTCATAATAGCCCCAAACTGGAAATAATCCAGGTGTCCATCAACTGACAGATGGATACAAACAACAAAATATGGTATATCCATACACCAGAATGCTATTCAGCAATAAAAAGAAGTGAATACTGATCTGTGCTTTATTATGCATGAACCTCAAAGACATGCTAAGTAAAAGAAGCCGGACACAAGAGACCACATACTGATTCCATTTATAAGAAATCTGTAGAAAAGCACATTTGTAGAGGCAGGAAGCAGATCAGTGGTTCTCTAGGTCTACAGGTGGCAACAGGAATTAACTGCAAACATCTAGGAAGGAACTTTTTGGGTGATGGAAACCTTCTAAAACTGGATTGCGGTGTTGGTTGCTCAGTTCTATTAATTTTTTGAGATGGTTGAATTGTATACTTAGAATTGGTTAGATTTATATGTAAATTTTATATATCTCGTTAAAGCTGTTCAAAAAAAAAAAAGAAATGGGGCTTCCCTGGTGGCACAGTGGTTGAGAGTCCACCTGCCGATGCACGGGACATGGGTTCGTGCCCCGGTCTGGGAAGATCCCACATGCCGTGGAGCGGCTGGGCCCATGAGCCATGGCCACTGAGCCTGCGTGTCCGGAGCCTGTGCTCTGCAACGGGAGAGGCCACAACAGTGAGAGGCCCGTGTACCACAAAAACAAACAAACAAACAAAAAAAGAAATGTATAATAATTATAGAAAAGACTGATAAGCAAAAGAGAGAAATTAAAGTGGAT